TTTTTATTTCAACCCACAAGACCTTAAACCATTAAGTCGGCATCAATGTTTTTAGTGAAGAAAGTACAAATGAATATATATACTTCCTTTTATGCTATTTTACACGCTTTTAAAATGAATTAAGTGGTAAGTTGATCCATTATCATACCAGTACACACATTCTACACATGTTGCACTTAACTTCTGTAATGTTGTTAATCTGTCACCTGAGCATCCCTGCACTTTCCAGAAGCCATCTTTATTTACTGTCCCCGTCAAGTAACATACCTCTGTGCCAGACTCCCTTTGAAAAGGTGCTTTAGTTAAACTTGATAGCTGCCCTCTATTATCAGACAAGAATCCCCACAAGGATCCTCACACACAATAAATTCTTTGTGTACTTCCAAAAAAGCTGCTCTCCACCTCGCTAACCTACTTTCCTCCCCTTTATTAACTATTCACACTAGTTTGTCTGAGATGTTGGAAGTGAAAGCGTCGAATATCCTTCCATACCGAAAAACGTGAAACAGACGTTTTAAAGTGGAATAACACCTGTTGTTCTGCTTTTTGCTTCTCATATTCAAAACATTATATCCCCAAACAATTTCATGGGTTTGTTAAAAAAACAATGCATGGAAGCAACACGTTGTTACAAGCAGGATGTGGTCCAGGATGTGGGTTCTGACAACCGAGCAGCACCAGATAGCTGAAATGGCACAATAACATGAGTCCACAGCTCGTGCTCATGTGGAGGGTGGTAACGCGCCGTCCACTCCCAGCGCACCACCACCAAAAAACCGTGATGTACGCACCACGTACGTTTTTTCCACGGTCACAAAGCGAGCCGTTAAACCGACCGAGAAACAGCCACTTATGTAGACTGTATATTTGGTCCTCTAGTCTTCCTCGTGCCCACCGTCACGGAGGAAAAGTTTATTTACATCGAGTCTATGCCGCGCGCTTCACTGACCCCGGCGCTGGTAAAAATGTTCCTCTTCCCGCTGTTGAAAACACGCTGAAGGAGAGCTTACCTTTGTACTGCAGCGCGTTGCCGGTTCGTATTTTCACAGTTCCGCTTATGGACTCCCCCGGGCCGTAAACCACCTTGTTGTTGGTAAAAGTAATATCAAATTCTTGAAGCTTTCCCATGGCTCCGCTCCGCTCCGCTACTCCGCCGCTCTGCGTCTTGAAAGCAGCGAGGAGGAGACGCTGCGCTCTCACCTACTGCCGCGAGCCCCCCCTTCTCTCCCCCACGCCCCACAGATCAGTGACGTCACTTTGACCACCCATTGAAAGTAATGGGAGGGATGATAACTGATGTGCCTTGTGCTTTATGGACTGGCTTATATAATTCAGTTGCAGGATCATGTTGGGTAAGATTCTTAGTCATAAAGGGACTGGATTCAAAACCTGCTTAACATTTTAATGCAGACCTCATACTGTCACCAATAGCAGTGGTTTCCAACCTTTTTGCTTAAAGGACCCCTTTTCTATCATTTAGTCAACTGATGACCCCTGGCTAGGTGACATTTTAGGGATATTTCACATTATATATTACTAAAAACTCAATAAACTCAAGTCAATTAATAAATTAAATTATTTTCAACCCAAATAAGGAATTCAATAACTGCAAGATGTTTGTGTACAACGAGTAATTCGGACAGATTTTGAGCAGATCATTTCCTTTTTATACATAATTAAGCTTTGGCGACCCCTAGTGGGGTCCTGACCCCCAGGTTGGGAACCACTGGCCTACCGCATAACCTTAAACTTAGTAATCAGTATTTTTTGGTGGGAAATAGAAGGAAAAAAAAAGACAATGTTGAAACCAAGACATTATACATATCCTTAGCTTTGTGCATCCCTATGCTCACTCTGACATAGTTCTCAGTGGTACTGTAATATCCCTTAGCATGCTGCAGGTTTAGTTTCATGTCTGACTATACAGCACTCTCTGAAATAATGAAGCAGGAAGGACGTTACCTCAAAATGTCGGAGAAATTCCCAACCGATCATCATCATGCATTTCTTCAGTATCTGTAGGACAACTATGGCTAGATTATAACCCCTTGTTCCTCCCGCTGTCTGTATGATGTGTGCAGCAGTTCTATGCTAGAATACTAACTGGCTCCTTTTTGTGTGGTAATTTGATTTAACACAAATCTATTTAGGAATGCAACATGTAAGCTGAAATAAATGGTGTCCTAAAACTAGCCTTTGACACAGGGACCCCTGTCACGACAGGTCCTCAAGATCTCAGCAGCATATTGCTGGTTGACACACAGACACACATACCTGTAGAGGTCCTGGCCCCTGGGGAAGTTGGTAATCCAGCCTTGTTGGTGCCTAATTTTCTTGTGCATGAACAGTGTACGGGATACTCTAATCATACAGCAGTCCCAATTTGCAAGTCTTAATTTACATGTAGGTTGGCAGTGTCATGATTTCTGTTAGTGCATTCATTAAATGCACTATTTTAGCATGTAGTGGACAAGAAATCCCTATGTTGTATTAACAGGAAATAATACAAGGTGTACACCAGGAAGCATCAAAAAAACTGCATAAAGGCTCAAACAAAAGTGTCACACTTCATTCAGAATTTTAATAGTTTTAGTCTCCACGCTGGATGTTTTACACACTAAATACTCAAAACACAATATGAATTAGCATGCTTCACAGTACTTCCCATGGCTCATATACTTCCCAACTCTACATATACTTCTTGTCTCAGAAAGTACTTCCTGTCTCTGATTGTACTTCCTGTCTGAATATGCAGCGTCAGCGGCTGGAGCAGATGTGACGGTTATGATGGATATGTGGTGCATAAAGCTCACAGTACAAGCTCGCCTTTTTCCTAATGGAGCTTTAACCTAATGTTGCATTTACCAGGAGGAGAAAAAATCCATTAAATACACAGAGCTATACATAATAATAATTCTCTGCTCCCTTTCTTTGTCATCATCTCACCAGGCTGCTAATATTCCTGGTAAATGCTCTGAGACAGATGTTTCCATGACGACAGACAAACACCATGGTTGCCAAGTTACTGCTTGGATCCATGAAAATCTGGTATGCAGTGGCATCTGATCTGGTCTAAAGCATCCCTCTTTTTTTGTTTACTCATGTTGCAAAAACCTCCCCTCAAATAGCTTGAATAATGAGTCATTTATAACACTGAAGGCCGAAAGTGAGAGGATCGTATGTCAGGAAGTAACAGGAGAAGATGTTAACACCATATGTCAGGTACACTGAGTGTCAGGCTAAGGTGAATCCATGCCAGTGCTAAGAGTATAATGTCTACACAACCTCATTCATGTTTTTATGCCTGCCAACATCTTATATGTTGTTCTTTTTGTGGTTTAATGCTTCATGATTTCAAACTATGTCTCAGTCATTCTTTCTTAAAGTGCTCCACGGATGGCTCTGTCTGTTGTGACGCTCTGACCTTTGACATGAATTACAATTGTTTAAATGTACAGTGGTGTGGCTCAGCGAGATGAGCGCTATACCAGTGGCTCCACCTGGTGGACATTGGCCATTTATATATGTTACATTTTGCCAGACATCATCTTATGGATGCAATAACAAGGTTCTACATGTATGTACAAAATGTTGTGATATTTTAAACAAATGCCTCAAAATGAATATGTATTGTAATCAAATAATGTGGGCATCACAATTGGTGCTTTCGGAGTAATCTGTAACGTGAATCTGATTCTGTTGAGCCAGAATAGTCAAAGGTGTAACACAGTCAGCCTTAAAAACCTGAAAAGGGCAATAATTAAAATGACAGGTGCTGGGCAGATTGCAAGGACTTGGATGTTTGTTTCTTATTTAATTGGCCAGCTTTATATATGGATGTTAATTGATTTTGCATGTTTTGAAAAATATAGGTTGACAGACCTCTGAATTGACCATAGCAGTGATGCAAACCTTTCAGTGGATGTGCTGAAAAGAGTTCAGCTCTGGGGAAGGTACATATGACTTGTGACTGATTTTTGGAAGTTTGGAAGTTGAAATGTCTAGAAATTTTGTCTTGCTGTAATAAATCACCCCCACTTAAATCAACCATTACAAAATTGAATGCACGAGTCATCATGAACTTTGACTGTGCAAACCGAATTTTATACAAATTAGCGATATAAACCTTTCGCATTTGTGGCGCCCCCTAGTGGCAGAATATCCTAGGACTGCTTAGTAAAGCTCAGACCTAGCATCCTAAAAGCTGCAGTTTAAGCCAATTTTGAATTTTTTTGTCAAAATCATATGGAATATCAAATCTCTGAAAAACAAGTTTGATGCTAACTAGACAAAATATGTAGAAGTAAGTAAGACAAAATTAATAATAACGGGAAATGTATCCAGGTGGAACTGGAGTTTCGAGTAGTGGGTGTGATTCCCAACCTGTTATGTTTTTTATTTTTCGATTTTTCTTTCTATTCCAACAGCTCCTTATTAGGGTATGACAATTGGCAGATCTTCCTCCATCCACCTGTAGTTTGATGCTGCCATTTAAGTCTGTAAAGACAACAACTAACAAGACAACTAAACACTTCAACACAATGTATTTTATATATGTATTTTTCTATTCTTCATTTTTATTGATTTGATCAAATTATTTATTTAATTGTGTTTCCTTTGTCATGTTTAGTTTACCCCTTTTTCTTTCACTGTTGATGAATATTGTGGTCTGGGTTTATGTACTGTTTCCTGTCAGTTACTGTGTTGTGATGTGATGGAAATGTTTGGAAAACAATAAAAACTTTGCTCATAAAGAAAGATTTTTAATATTCTGCAAATAAACAAGCAAGACAAACAGCACTGTTATATCTTAAGACTATTGCACTTCACCCAAACACATGGCAGGAAGTGTACATGTAACAGGTTTTAAGAAACAATTATTCATATGTAGGCTCAGAAATAAGTAAGCAGTAACAGCTTTGTAACAGTCACTTCAGGCACCTCTTCCAAAGTTGCTGTATAACATATTCTATAAATATCTCGTTACAGTCGCAGTACTAACAATAAACTTGATTATTAAATTAAATCTGCATTCCTACATCTGGCATGGACGCCTTTTTCAGAGCGTTCAACTCAGGTAAACTCATAGCAGCTGGGCTGCCTTTCTCCTACTGGCTCTCCTCTTCCTCTTCTAAATCAAGCAAGCAGGTCTTTGCGATGATCCCTGTCACAGAGTACGGGTCGCAGTTTGCTGCAGGGCGGCGGTCCTCGAAGTAGCCTTTCTTCTCTTGGCCCACCTGGCGGGGGATGCGGATGCTGGCGCCTCGGTTGGCCACTCCGGCCGAGAAGTCGTTGATGTTCGAGGTTTCATAGAGACCTGTGAGACGCCTGATGTTGTCCTGGCCTCCACGTGGGTCATAAAATCGGATGTGCTGTGCGTGTCTTTTGCTCAGCTTCTCGATGGCCTGTTCGATGTACCTGTCATCAGAGGATCACAGAGGCAGTTGGGATATGTAAGGTTGCTGCAGTGACTGTCTGTGGATGGATATTGTCTACTGAAAATCTAAAATGATGATATTTTTTGAACTTCATAAGACAGTGAACTCATGTGTCAATCAGTACCTCCAGGATATCATGGGCTTTTTGTGATTTGGATTTTTGCAGCCTAAAATCTTTTCTAAAAAACTTTTCTAAAAAATTGCTATGCACATTGTGATGTTTTTAGGCATTTTTTTTGGTAATGGAATTTTGGGAGGAAGTGAAAATTGCCAAAATAGTTGAATTTAAGCTGCACTGTTTTGAGGCTAAATGTGAGGTGTTTGCATTGCACATGTCTGCATGATCTGTATCTTCACAGCTAGAAACAAGGAGGTGAGTTTGGTGACGTATGCTCAACTTTTTGTGCAACTTTTTGGTAGGCTACTTTTTGGTCAAGTTTGCAGAAAGGTTGCTGTGATTGGACAAAATTCCAAGGTCACAGGGGTTTGTTGAATATGCATTAATTGTTGCGAGTGTAACATTGCAGCTTCCAGTAGGGACTAATCAATAAATGACTGAATAAATATTGATATGAATGAAGGTTTGCACAATCTTGGCAACTGATGATAACTTCATATTTTCCTAGGCAGTTAACACTGGCAGTGTCAACCGCAAACAAAAAATTGGCATCTGTGTCTTGCTATTTCCTGTGAATGAAACCCAACCCAGTCTGCTTAAAACTGCAATAAGGGATTTTTTTGCCACTTGGAGGCAGCAGAAACAAGCTGTAAACACAACACAGACATCACCTTTTAAGTTGATATAGCGAAGGTGTTAGTTGCTTATTTACACATCCAGCGTATATTAAGCAACATTATATAGTATTTATTTGCCGTCATTATTCTGACCATCTGCTGAATGTAAATCCAATATTGATTCTCCTTTTAGCTCTGTTTTTGGTCTCCACCAGCTCCTGAGGGACATGTATGACTCTTTAGGTGCTAAATGCTTAAGTATGTTCAGCTGTACAGCTAGTCGCCAACTCAGCTGCTGCTTAGAGAGGTACAGTGAAGAAATAGGTGCCTGTTGCGCCTGGAAACAATGCTAATGAGAGAGGTGAGATTGAAAACAAACCAGAAGAATTTAGGTCCAGGAAACTAAAACCTAAAAATGAGCTGAAAGTTGATATAAAGCTCTGCAGAGCTGAGGGGAACTGTGGTATCTGGTGAAAATCCTCTGTGGGTTTGACACTAGGAGTGAAACCTTTCACATACATGGGATCTATTCTAAGAATCAATAAAATATTGATTAGCCCTATAGGTGATTTAAACTACAGAATTTAAAGAAATACAGTTTACTTAAGTTACAGACTTTTTAAAATTATATTGTCTTAATCAAAAACAGAAATGTCACTGAATCATATCAAACAAAAAAGTAATCACAGTTCAAATTGAATCGGTCTATGGAGAAATTTGTGATAATGTGAACATAATAAGAGTCACGTTTCAGCAACTATGAGTGACACTATTATTTACCAGAACATTAATCTTTCTATATTAACTGCAGCCTGAAGAGCTTAAATAATGAATCATCAACAGTAAAACTGCCCCCGCAAAAATAAAAATGTCATTTTTGAAAAGTCAAAACACTAAAATATAAGCAGGTTTCAATATATAAAAGTATGTTATTAATATATAATTGGCTGGATAATTAAATCCTAAATTACTGAGGTATTACCATTAAGATTTGTGAATTACTGTTGTTACAACTTTTAAAGGAAATGTTTACTCACTGCAGTCCTCCTTCTTCTCTCATCTGTTTGGTGCTGACATTTGTGTGGCAGCCAGCACCGTTCCAGTTGCCCGTCATTGGTTTGGGGTCCAGTGTTGCAACAACCCCAAAATCTTCACACACACGATGCAGCAGGAAGCGTGCAACCCACAGATGGTCGCCCATCTCAATGCCTTCACAGGGACCCACCTGGAACTCCCACTGAAGTTAGAAGAAGAAGAGGCAGAGGAAAGAGTGACATAAGGAAATTGTAGAAGGGAAGTGTATAACAAAAAATTGTGAAAAAAACAACAACACATTTTTTTTTTTTTTATACCCACTGCGCATTGGAATAACAGTGACACTTGCCTGAGATGGCATAACTTCAGCGTTGGTGCCGTAGATTTTGACCCCTGCATAGAGACAGGCTTTGTAGTGGCACTCTACAATGTCCCGTCCATAAGCATTGTTTGCCCCCACCCCACAGTAGTAAGGTCCTTAAAATGGATGACATGATGGGAAGCTTGTTAAGACAAAATAAATACAAACCTGTACCATAAAATACGTCTTATCAGTGATTCATTGACAGTAAAATATTAAGCTGAGCTGGAAATAATGTCTTTATTGATGGTTAATAAAAAAATATGAACACTTATTGGTATTAGGACATTTAACCTTTTGGCTGATCCTTTGTCTTTTTATGGCTCTGTAATTCACCTGATTAGTATATCTATTTGTAAGGAAAATGTTAATATAACAGATTTTTTTCAGATGTTCTGCAGCTCTTGATCTGGATCATGGACCACGAATTTGTTACAACCTTTTATTGCTCTTTTAAGTAAAAACTTATTAACTATTAATAAGCCATCATTTACAACTTATAAACCCTTAATAAAGTATGCCTCGTCAAACAATAGTGCCCTTTTTTTTAATATTCCTGCTACATGAATGAAGTGAACAAAAAGAAGAGAGAAAAATGACTGCTGATTCACCTTGGGGTCCTGGGAATCCATTTGAGGGCCAACTAAAAGGATGTCCATCTATTCCTAAGAGCGTGTACTCCTGCTCCATGCCAAACCATATACAGTGCTCTTTCACCTCCTCCATCACTTTGTTGCAGTTTGCTCGATGGTTTGTTTCTAGAAAGAAAACCAGTATAGCTTGTTTTTCCTGACCTAATTGAACGGGATTCCAACATTTAACATGGACAGAAATGTGAGAAATTTACCTGTAGGGAATCGGTTGTATTTGAGGACCTCACAGAGGACCAGTTTGTTGGGGTCCAAGGTGAATGGATCCCTGAACATGCACACTGGGATGAGGTACATGTCACTGTTGGAGCCTTCGGCCTGGTATGTGCTCGAACCATCAAAGTTCCACTCAGGAATATCTGGCAAGATACCCAGAAGATTAACATCGAAACATCCTGAATATAATTCAGTGCGAGTCGGTGTACCATGAAACCTGATATGCTCACAGACTACTTTAGCTCTGACGTCAACAAGACAAATTCCTGTACATTGTCAGTGCTTGGTGAGCAGAAGAAGAAAATAAACAAATATGAAAGAATCGAAGAAAAGATCAGATTAGTGAAGTTTTTTCGAGTTCTTAATCTGCATTTGCAAAAATAGAGCTGTACAGTTAAACTTCTTGACAGCTTGTTATCGTATTTATGTCTTAATAATGATTTTACTTGTCTATAAACACCCCTCAAAGAATCTGTTAAATTCTGAAATCTATGCATATAAGAGCTATATAGAAATAAAGGGTGAAAACTGACTCCATACACTGTAGTTAACTAAAATATTCAGCTTTAAGCAAGTGCTACTCATCCCCAAGTAATAAATCATCAAAAGCGACAATTTACCATCTATGCTTTTTGGCTCACAGTCCAGGGTTCGGGTCTTGTTGCGAAGTCCCTCTCCGGTGCCGTCGATCCAGATGTAGGTGACCTGGCACTTCTCTCCCTGAGGAAGGCTCATGTACTGCTGGCGCACAGCCTTGCTGAGGCGGGAGCTGGATGACACCGAGGCCATGCCTGGGTATTTTTGTTATGGTTGAGATAGAAACCTGCCGGACTTGAAATACATAAGCATATATATGGATCTTTTCAGTCACACAACAAAAGCAACAAGTCAGAAATACAAACACAAAAAACATCAGATTGAAAATAATACCCTGAGAGCAGCAGTAACTGTACTGGCACCTAATCTTTCTTTTGCCTGTGCTGTGCTGTTCTTTATGAAGCACAATTACTGTAAATAAAAATACTACCAATATACTGTTTACTTAAAACAAATACACACAACTGTGACATTTTCCCATCTGTATTTGTTAACACATCTAATTGTGGATAAAGAACATCTTTATAATAATATAATGCAAATTTGCAAAACTTTTGTTAACCAAACAACTTAAACACTCTTATATTTATACTTAATTCCCTGAAACACAAAGATTAAAACACTCTTTCACAAAAACTGTGTATCAGAATGAGCAAAGTTGTCCAAAGAATTGCATCAGACTGCATCACTTTTGATCATTTGAAAAACAATGAAGATTTGGTACATAACATAACTTTTTCTCTTTTTTTCTTCTTTTTTTTAAATTATGAGAGTTATATTTTACAGAATACACACAGATACATAAATACATAGCCTATGTGAATACTTACTCGGTTACAGGTGTCTTCAGGTGTTGTCAAGTGTCTACAAGACAACTTAGTGTGTGATGTGACCGAACCTGTTTGTCGTAGGTCTATTTAACTGGAATGCAAGGAAGCACGGTGATGTGCGTGTCATTACGCCCTGTGCGTAATATGACATTTCAAAGGCTTCCTGTACATGTGGGGTGTGTTTGAATTATGTTTCCATTAGACAGTCCAATACTTCATTCCTTTAGAAAAAACATATCTGTGACAATGTTTGAAACATTACTACATCTCGTCTGTGGAAAACAAAACAATTCAAGCAGTGAACAGATAATGTAGTACCTGTAGATACCTCCTCTGTCTTAATCAACCCATTCTGTCCTCTATCGTGTTGAAATGGACAAACAAAAACAATAAGTCAGTCAAATCATTGCACAGGTACAACTGAGAGGGACATAAACTCCCATGAGATATAGTAATGAACACTCACCTGCACCAGAGAGGCCATCTGCTGATAGTGCCTGACTGCTGTTTGCTGAGCTGAGAGTCTTGCAGCTCAGTGAACACAATTAGAGACTAGAAGCTGCTCATATGTTCAGTTTCCGTCAGGTTAGCTGTCCTGAGATCAAGCAGTAGGGCAGAAATTCAACAACTCTTACAGAAACAGGACCGGTCACATGGGACACGGTGATGGTGTGTTTAAGTGTGTGATGTGGGCACACAACTGACCAAGGATGTAAGCAAACTAAGCAGGATGAAGGGCTAAAGGGGCCACGAGGACCGCCAGTGACCCCCAAACAACCAAGTGAGAATGTGCAGCTGTATCCAAAAACGTTTTAAGAACTAACAAAAAAAATGTTTTTATAATTGTTGTTGATAATTCCTCCAAGTATTCTATTTATGCTTTCTCATTTTTCTTTTACATTACCTGACTTCATTTTTTTAATGTATTTTGAACCATACCAACAGCGCATAGCTCTAGGAATGCAATGTCAGTCTGTTGGTCCAGACTGAAATATTATAACATATGACTTTTCTGTCTTTTCTGCTAATTAGCTAACGTTAGCTTGCTAACACACTAAACTATAGAGGTGTATTGCATTCACTTGAAAAACAATGATTCTGCTCTGGTTTTCTGTTTGAATTAGTTATTAGCTCATAATTCTGAGATATGTTTTCATTAAAAAAAATTCTGCTGTTATTCTGAATTAACAATACCTCCAGCAGGTTGCCCATGCTCAGTCCCTCTGAGCGGAACCCAAATCCCATAACCAGCCTCTAGCAGGGTTCCAGCGGGCCCAGGCAAGGCCCTCAGGCCTCTAAGTCTGACTCAAAGACCCTAACACAGGGTCTCCAGCCCTGAGACTGCCTCTAGTGAGCCCCAGTGGACCTGTGTCCCCAGCCTTCACCTCCTGGTACTCCACTAGGGAGTCCGTAAGTGTGTGTTGTTGGCTGTCCTCCTGTGTCCACACACAAGGATGCTGGAAGTCACAGGACGAGAGATGTCATAATCAGTAAGTGTGTGTTGTACCAATGAATAAAAGTAGATCAAACATGGGGACATAGTCAGCAGGGATCATGTGAGAATTCTGAAGATTTTCTGGATCAACTGGATGTACAAGCAGGAGAATAATAGCACCCTCAGTTCCCTCCCTCTAACAGTTATAAAGTCAACAAAATTAAAGGCAGCAGTGTTAATTACATTCCTTTGGTCCCCACTAAATATTATATCCACAGTCACAGTGAACAAACTTGTTGCACATCATTCCGGTAATAAAGATGACTACCAAATCTCGATCGTGAAGTACAGTATACATTGATTTAAAAAGGAGGGTAATAACTGGTTCACCATAGTCATAAAATATGATTATGAAATTCCAGGTACAGATTTTATTGGGACTATATAAGACTTTACCGCAGCAGACTTCAAAAAGGTTTAACCATCTGAATCTGAGGACCAGCTGGATCCAGTTTGAGACCATTCATCTTCATCCATTTAAACAAAATGGTCAGGCCAGCGCTTTGGTCCAGACTGAAATATCTCAACAACTGTATGTATCACCAATTAACTTTGTACAGACACTGAGGAACTTAACTTGTCTTTTATTACATACATCAACACCAATGGATTCTGGGTCTTTTTATGGCCTCTTTATTTGATAGTTGGATGTACTCAGGGACAGAGAGTGACATTAGAAACAGATTCCCCCACCTTAAACAAACTGGGAACATAGCAATTACATGGGGCATCTTACACAAATAGAAATAGAAGGGGAATGACTGATGCTTCCTGCTTTAAAGGTCAGACTTAGCAATATAACCAAACAAAAAAAAACTGCTTAAAACAACATTTGGGAAAAGTGCAGCTCAAAAATAAACAGATGAGCACAGGCTCAGATCAGATAAGGTCCAGTTATGAAGATCACTAGATTGACATGCCTTATATAGTTAAATGAAAATGCTGCATTTTTGGCCTTTTAAATCTTATTCTCTGAGCTGCCATCTCCATCTTGATTTATGTCACATGTTCCCCTTGGGTAAAGATGTCAAATGGTTGATATGTTACAGAAATGATCACAGTAATCAATGGTTCAAATGCCCAAATGTGCAATTCAAATGAAAGGCAAGGTGAACTGGATCAGTCCTGCAAACGACAAGTTCTCACTCAGAAGTCCCTTAGAGATAAAGTGTCCATCCATGTCTGGCTTCTCTTTTTATTAGGCTTTTCTCACGATGCGCCCGGTCTTCCTCAGGTCCCTCCCTCCCCTGTCGGTCCTGATCGACTGGCTGCTTGCCCTCCATGCTCCCTGACACACCCGGGCGCTGTGGAGGAAGTACAGGTTATTAGGAAGAACAGTAAAGACACACCTTAGTGATTTTACCAGAAATCACACGTTCAGATCATAAGAGTCATTCAAATAAAATGTCAGCTTTCCTGCCATCAACCAACATCTGACAACAAACTTAATTTCATAAGTGATTCATTCAGAGATTAAAAAAATAGCAAGTGACCCTTGAGTTTTGAATATTGTATCACAGATTCTGGTGTTCTGGTCAAGAAAAAACCTGCTGAGATGTCTGTTTTATTTAGTTCTCTACAGCTAACAGTAATACTACTTTTAATCTTTTAATGCAGATGTGTTTGAGAATATGGTTTATTTTGTTACATTTTTACAAAGGGTATCAAAGCTCTGTTGTCGATGTTTGCATTGGTATCTGAAAACAATGAATGACACCAACCTCAGCATCAATGAATGGATTGTTAATCAGTCAGTGCCTAGTTACTAATTATAAATTGGTATATTATCTACATCCAGATGTTCTACTTCTGCTTAAAACCAAATCTAAATCACACACACACACACACACACACACGCACGCACACACACACGCACGCACGCACACACACACACACACACACACACACACACACACACACACACACACACACACACACACACACACACACACACACACACCTTGAGCGCAGCAGAGGTCCAGCAGCTCGTTTCCGGGGCTTGGCGCTCTGTCTCCGGTACTGCATCCAGCCGCAGACCAGCTCGTGCGCGATCATCACGTACAGCAGGAAGATGAGCACGGCGGGATCCATTCAGCCGCACGCGCCGCTGGATGAAACCGAATAAAAAGCGGTCCAGATGAGAATGAACGGCACCGGGCTGCAGACGGCGCGGACCGGCGCTCTTCTGCAGGATGAGGGACGATCCGTGACGATGAGGAGGAGGAGAGGGTCCTCGTGCCCAAGTTGCGCCGTGTCCACTCCAACTTTAGGCACTCAGGTCGCGAGACACAAACGGCTGCTGCGGTGGGCGCTCGCAGTCCACCCATGACAACACCCCATCCTCCAAAATCATCAGTTCACCCGAGAGAAAACGGTGATTTTCTCCCCGTCTCACCGACGACAGCGGAGAGCCGCGGTGACAACAGCAGAGAGGGGACATCGGAGGATGTTGCCGTAGAGACGCGACCGTTGCTAAGGACATGATGTCGTCATCACCTCTTCCTAAAGATGAACGAGGCATTTGACCATATCAGAGCCATGCAGGGAGCATCCAATAAGAGCATTGCTTTGGGCTACCATTCATCCTCTGACACAGGATGCGACCATTGATTATTTTTTATTATCGGCTTATTTTTTACCAATATATTTGATCAACTGATACCATTTGTAAAACACTGTATCAACACTGGTCATTCTGATTTGCTACAGCCCATGTCTCATCAACAGCCAGTAAAGTATTACAATGAAATCATTTGAGAGGGCATGAGCAGAAAAGGCATTTTTAATGGATTATTTATATTAATCGTAGTAGTATTAATCGGACTGATACATAACATTTCTGCACTCATTTTGAGCAAACACATTTAACATTTCATTTTTAAGCACCTATCTAATAAATATGACTAAATATAAGTATTTAACAAAAAGATTATTAAAGCCCCTACAAGGAACCTTTATTTTGTGTTGATTCTGGCGGCCCCTGTGGACAACAAGCGGTAGTGTTTCTACCGCGTTGTTTCATTGATTTCAAGGGGAATCCGACTGAATTTGAGCCAGCAGGCATTAAGAATAACTATACAGAAATAGCCAATCTTCTCATTGATGGTCTTGTCTGTTTATGTAAGTCATACAGAGGCATCAATGTTAAATTGGGACTGTTTCATAACCAGTCCTTGTAAGATTTTAAGATTATGAAGACAAATATTTATCTTCGAACCAAAATACCTAGGCATTCTAGAGAATGTAATTTTTTTTTTCATCAGGTCACTCTTTATTCAAAATAATGTTTCTTTAGCTCTTCACGATGCGGTTATTTAATTACCCAGTGGACCAATTTACTCTCACAATGAAAAGCACACTGTTTTAATGCTCAACTTTAATTTCATTTATCATCAGAGCTCAATTACATCTGGTTTCAAAGCGTAGAATAAAGAATACATCTGCCCTACAGTCTTTTTCCAAACAGTTGTTTTATACCATCGTCCTCTATAACCTTTCTTTTTAGTTTTCACAAGGTTTAATCTGTTTCAAGTTATTCTTTTCTTTCTCCTTTCTCATAAACAGAACACTCCACGACTTTCTACAAAGGCAGATTAGAGGTGGAGATATTCTGACTTTTAGCCCTTAATGTGAGTCAGGCTCC